CTCCTAGTCAAAATGAGCTGCCATGGTTAGAAGAATTCTAATAGACTTAAGCATAGCTACCAGTGAAAAGGTTCCTTATAATCGATGAGTATACCCTTTCACAACAAGCCTTGCCTTATAAGTTTGCACTTTACCATCTACAGCCCTCTTTTTCTTATAGATCCACTTACGTCCGACAGGTTTAACCCCTTCAGGTGGTTCTACAAGTTCCCAGACTTGATTAGAGTACATGGACTCCATTTCAGATTTTATAGCTACAAGCCACTTATTGGCATCTTTATCTTATAGTGCAGTATCGTAACATACTTGTTCGGTATTCATTTCTTCAGGGACCCTATCAAAAGCTTCTCCTAGAAGTGGTAACCGAACTGGTGGTCATCTAATTGTCCCACTATGACGAGGTGCTATCAGATCAGCCACACTGTCATCTTGCTTTAGTTGTAAAGCTAGTAAGTCTATAACTGGTGCAACAAAATCCTAGTTAGGTTTTGGAGCCTCCTCAACATTTCCTTCAATACCAGTAGGTAATGAAATGTCAATGGGTTCCACCTGTTGTGTATGTAAATTAACATCACTCTCACTACTTTGGGGCTGTAGTGGTAAATCTAGAATTGTGTGTTGATCAGATTGAGTATTGGAATTTCTCCCACTACGATGAGGTAATGGTATGTCAACACCGACTGTGAATGGTTCAGGTTCATGTTCTTTTGGAAATGTGTCAGTAAGTATGGTATCCCCTCTCAATTCTCGCAAAGCTAATTGGCTTTTGGGAATATGGTTTAGAATATAGTCCTCCTTAAGATAATGTGCATTGGTGCTAACAATGGTCTTTTTATCTTTAGGACTATAAAATAAACCACCTTTCGTTCCTCTAAGATATCCAATAAAGCCTTTACGTTCCTCTAAGGATATCAATGAAAGTAACATAAGTCTGTTTTTGATTCCAACTTATCTGCTTTCCCCTTTTCAGCACATGGGCTTGGCAACCCCACATCAGAACATGTCTTAAACTAAGCACAGTTTCTTAGAGTCAAAGTATTAACTTAGAAGGAACTAAATTCAAAAATATATGTTGTTGTTTCAATTGGCATGTCCCTAAAAAGAAATGGCAAAAATTGAATAACTCAATCATTAATCTTAACCATTCCCATAAGCTTCCTAATTTCCTCCCTTTCTGGCTACAAACCATTCTATTGTGATACTAGGTGCAGACCAATTGTTGAAAGGTAATTCCTTATTTTGTATATGTTGTTGTTTCAATTGCATGTCCCTAAAAAGAAAATGGCAAAATTGAATAACTCATCATTAATCTAACCATTTCCATAAGCTTCCTATTTCTCCTTTCTGCTACACCATTCTATTGTGGCATACTAGGTGCAGACAATTGTGAAGTAATTCCTTATTTTGATAAATAAGCAATGAATGCCATAGAGAGGTATTCGCCACCACGGTCAAACCGTCAAGACTTGATATATTTTCTATATCGCTTCTCCGTTTCTGCCTTAAATTTTTAAATTTTTCAAAACATTCAGACTTATAGTGCAACAGGTAAATATACCCATACCTTGAGTAGTCATCTATGAAAGTGACATAATACTTAAAACCACCCCTAGCTTGGACACTCATTGGGCCATACAAATCAAAATGAATTAATTCTAGAACATCATTGGTCGTATTACCCTTTTAAGGGAAAAGGCCTCTTAGTCATTTTACCTTCTAGACATGATTCACAAGTTGGTAGTGCCTCCACTTTCAATGAACTCAAGGGTCCATCCTTAACATCTAAATTAATATGACCAAGCCTTAAAGGCTAAAGATATGTATGATTGAATTCAATAGGATGTTTTCTCTTTAATGGTACAACAACATCAAAGTTATTTATTTCAAAATCATTAAGTTGCAGCTCATGTGATACTTAAGAATAAATAGATCATCAATCAATGAGCCATAACAAATCATTTATTTTCTAAATTTAATAATGGTGGAATCATCATAAAATTCATTAAAACAAACTGAATAACCGTTCTTACTCAAACTAGAAACATAAATTAATTCCTTCTAATTAAAGGAACATATAAAACATCACTTAAAACTAAGGGTAACATTTCCTACAGCTAAAACTACAACTTTAATGCCATCTCTCGAGCAGATGCTGACTTCTCATTCACTTAGCTATCGTGTTACCTGAAATCCTGCAAAGAATTACAAACATGATTAGTGGCTCCTAAGTCTACACACCGTTGGAGTGTAGTCAATACCACTAAACAAGTTTCAATAATCAATAAATAGAAAAGCGATGTACCTTGCTTTTTCTTAGATATCCAAGTTGGACATTGCTGCTTCCAGTGACCAGGTTGCTTGCAGTGAAAACACTTGCCCTTGGGCTTTTTCACTGCACCATTTGCACCACTAGTAGCAACAACTATCTTGGGTTTGGGCCTGTGAGCCTTTTCTTCTTCTTACCCTGTTTTTGGGTAGAAGAAGAACCTCACTTAATATTGAGCACAACAGGTGCAGCTCCTTACTTAATAAAAGTCTCAACAGCCCACCAGCTCATTCAACAACTTGGACAGAGTAAAAATACATCTTATTCATATTATAGTTCAAACGAAACTACTAAAAACTAGCCGGTAGAGTGTTCAAGACCATCTCAATTTGAGTAGCCTTGTCAACCTCAGTACTAAGACCCTCCATTTCATTCAGAAGACTTATCATCCTTAAGACTTGAGTTCTAATAGGAGTTCCTTCCTCCATTTTAGAAGCAAGAATCTCCCTAAGTGCATTCTGCTTGGTTGCACTAGTCTGGTCTCCAAACATCTCCTTGAGATTCTATAAGATGTGTCCATCTTCTGATGTTGATGTTACAAAACATTTGATATAGATGCCAAAATATAACATCGCGCCATCTCATCAGCCTTAACCCATTTCTAGTAAGCCTTGGTGACCTCAGTAGAGGCACCCTCAACGGGTTTTTGAGGAGACACCTCAATGAGCACAAACTTGTACTCCTCAATAGTAAGCACAATGTCCAAATTCTTTTTTGGTACACATAATTTGGACCGTCAAGTTTATTTTGGGTTAGGATGTTGGCTAGGAGATTGAATGATATCATTTCCTTTATAAGATCATGCATTAAAAATAAAACAACATATCAATAATAATTAATAGAATATAAATCATAATTGCAGGAAAAGCACAATAATGACACCAAAATTCACATATGCATTTTTAACAACATTCATGAGCAACAATCTCGATGGGAGAATTAAACTAATCACATGTCATGCATAAAAAAATAAAAAGACAGACACACCACTTGATGGGAGAAACATATCATTAAACATTTATAAGTAAAAAAACATTACATCCAGTCTATGCCCCTAATTAATTTACTCAGATGGAGAGATAAATAAACACAGACAATACTAGATTAAATACAGTGATCACATTAAAACATATCATCTTTCGATAGGGAAGAATATGCAAATAATCACAACTAGCAAGTAATGAAAAACACCAAAAAAAAAATTTCTTTTAGAAAAATGAATAAATTCTATTTGTCTGTAATTTAAAAAAAGCAGCAAATTTTTAAAAGAATTTATAAAAAAAAACTTGAAAAAAAAAATTCAAACAAATTTTCTTAAGGCCTATTTGCAAAACTAAGAAACTTTCAGGGCCTGTATGAAAATTATAGGACCTATTTGCAAAAATAAAATACTTTTGGGGACTAATTAAAAATTTTACGATCTGTTTGCAAAACTAAGAAACTTTTAGGGGCCTATTTGAAAATTTTTCTGGCCTATTTGAAACTTTTCAAAAACTTCTTCTTGTTCCTTAAGAAGAAACCCTAGCCGCCACCCAAGACAACTGCCATTTTTGCCCAGGCCGAGCTCTGTCACCGCCAGACCAAGACTCCAATGATCGCGCAACGCTTATGGTTCTGCTGACTGTCCATTTCGACACCGGCAAGCTCGCTGTCGAGCAAACCACGCAAGAACAACCACCCAATAAAGATGACTTCCAAAAAAACTTGTTCAGTTTTCAGAGGGCAGAGCCAATTTCGAGACCCAACAATGACGAACCAGCCGCTACCAGTGGTGAGCCTGCATCGGCCGGAGACCTTTGCATGGCTCGCCGTCAATGGCGCTATTGTTCGTGCTGTTCTGGGCAATTTGGCCATTATTCCAAGATCTTCATATACTTCGTGTTCTTCACGAGAACACAAATTCCAAAATTGATTTTCAATTTTTTTATATAAATATTTCAATTTTTTTACATAAATATAACAAAAAAATCCAAATGTTTCATGATAAAGATTTCTGCAAAATCGATTTTTCTTTTAAAAAAACACAATAGATTGATTTTCAACAAACCAATTTAATAAAATCTATATCAAAACAATTAAAAAAATATCATGTATGTAATCACGCAATCAAACAGAAATAGAAAATAATTATATACAAATTACAATATCATGCACCATACGAAAGATAAAAACAATCAACGAAAACATGATAAACAATTAACAGGTGAACAAGGCACCTTCATACGAGTTTGGAAATGGTCTAATGCCAATTGATGGGAGCCTAGAATTATACAACAGAAGCAATCGAAGATCAAAATAAGTACAAAAGCAAACAAAAAATGCAAATCATACAAGAATTGACCTGTTGTAGTGAAGAATCGCTTACCCATCTTCTTTCCAGAATTCTTCAAGTCATCCTACAGTCTTCTGTTGTGTGACCTTAATTGATTGTATGAATTCTAGTTTTTTAGGTGGGTAGAAAAGTACAATACATATGATTCTTGAGTCCGTAGTTAATTTTCCTCTGAATGCTCTTGTAAATGAAGATCGTATTCAAAAACGAATATCCTCTCTTATCCACGTGGGAAACGAACCATAAGATTAATCGTTCGGTTACTCACGCAGTTAATATTTTAAGTAAAACAGATTATCCCCTTTCAATTAAAATTAATAAATAAAATTTTAATTAAAAAATTAATCTATTAATTATTTAAAATACATAACCCATGTACGGTCCAAATAATTAAGGTACAATCGGGACTGCAAGAATAAATTAATAAGTCTAAGAATCCATACAGGACTAGTATATTTTTATTATAATTAATCATAAATTATTCCACTAAAAATTCGTGATTAAACTCCTTATTAATTTAATTTTCTACAACATAATAATTTATGTGCCTAATATAAGGATTACAGATGCTTGTCAAATAAAATAAATGCCCTAATATAAAAGGATTACAGATGCTTGTCAAATAAAATAAATCATTGATAATTTATTTAAATAACAATTTTAATCTTTAAAATTGTCCGCGTTAACTTATTTCATGTGTCGGATTAAAAAATCACCTGCAAGGTTTACACAATGAAATTAACTTATTTCATGTGTCGGATTAAAAAATTCACCTGCAAGGTTTACACAATGAAACCTTCTAAGTTTACTTAAAGTACATCATCATTCTTTAAATCGAGACATGGATTCTATCATTAATTAAATTTCACAAATATAAGCTGTCTTTGCCCAATTCACTGAGAATTATTGTCCCGATAAATGAAAATCACTCTTTAATGTATTAAAGCACAAACAATATATATTTGCTCATATTAATTAAGTCAAGATTAAGAAGATAAATCTTATTTTTAATCTCCTACAGAATATGTTTAATAGTCAGTACAAAATAACCATTCTCTACTTGTTTCGGTTAGATACATACAGAATATATTAACACTATTATTATAAAATATGCTAAAAATTTTATTCATTTAATACAAATCTCCAATTAAATACATAGAAATAATTGTTCAAAGAAGAACATCAAAATTATACTATTACATTTGCATGGTTAATAGTATATCTCTATTACATTACACCTGCCACATGCTTGCACAATTAACAGAGTTAGTGGTCAAAAAATCTAATTTCTGTACCATATTATCCACCTTGGCATTCAATGCAGTGATGGCATCAATCTCATAAATTCCTGCAGGCTTCTTCCTTTTGAGGTATTTTGGTAATGACTATTGCTCGTCATCTTCTATTAAATCATATGCCTCATCAATCCCTTTTTCTTTCAAAAGAACCTCCGGCAGCAACAACTAAAGTGATATTCGTGTTATGAGACAATGCATTATTGAAATTTTGGACTTGCAACCACTTGGGTAAGTTATGGTGTGGCCACTTCCTCAACAAATCTTTGTATCTCTCTGAAGCTTCATACAAGCTCTCTTGATAATGGTGAGCAAAGGTCATTATCTAATTGTGAAGCTTTGTGGTCTTTGAGGATGGAAAGAATTTTACCAAAAAATTTTGGGCTAATTCTTCCCAAGTAGTAAAACTTCCAACAGGGCATAATTGCAACCAAGAGCGTGCTTTGTCCCCTAGAGTGAAGGGAAATAGTTTCAATCTTATGGCATCTTCAGAAACTCCATTTTGCTTGAAACTATCACAAATTTCCAAGAAATTTGTGATGTGGGCATTAGGATTTTCATTAGGCAAACCTCCATATTGAATTGAAGTGGATAACATCTGAATAATTGTAGGCTTGATCTCAAAATTGTTAGCTGCCACCCTAGGCCTAGTGATACTTGAACTAGCCCCATTAAGAGAAAGAGTTATGTAATCTCGCAAGGTGCGAACAGGAGGTTGGGGCCTTTGATTGAGCTGATGTTGCAAGACCTATTTTCTTCTTGCAATAGTAAATCCTCTAATTCTACTTCTTCAGCTATGTTTGATTGTCTTCTTTTTTCACGTTCTCGACCTTTTCTCGCAGTGTTATTTCTTCGACAAGTCCTTTAATTTCTGGGTCAAAATCAAAGGTCCAATGCTACGAGATCTTCTTTGCATAAAATACCTGAAACTTCGTGTAAAAGAAAAATTAAAGTAATAGGAAAATAAATATTTAAATTAACAATAGGGTAATTAGTATTGATATTAGTAATGTCAATCCCCAACAACCGTGCCAAAAACTTGACAGGAGAAATTTACAAGTGTAGAAAATCGCAACAAGTAATAAAGATGAGTAGAGTATCATTCCCATGAGGATTGGATACCAAATACCAAAATTATGTTAACCTACTATTAATTAAACAATCATAAGAAGAATAATTGTAAAAAATAAAAGAAATAAAATAAAGTAATGAATAACAAATCAAGCAAGTAATTATTGAAAAGAAATCAAGGATTAAAGGTTACAAGGGATTTTGACTTCGCTTAATTCTATCCAATTTATCCTATTAATTTGATAATCAATTTTAACTATTCAAGAAGAAGAAATAATCTTAAAATCGCTAATAAGCTTTCTCGATGTTTTATTAGTTATTTTAACCTAACTTAATTACCTATCTCTCAATGGCGCAACCAAACCTAGATTAAATCATTAAGTTTCTGTGATTATTCAGGAATCTACAAATTAAGGCCTTTAATTTTATGAAAACCTCCCACAAGTCAAACCATATAGCTCTTGTATCAAGTTGTTATTCCCATGAAATTTATTATCCTGTTCATATCAAAAACCCTTCTCTCAATAGTGATTAATGAAATAAATCAATCCAAGTCCTGTTCATATTCAAAAACCCTTCTTCTCATCAAGTTGTTATTCCCATGAAATTTATTATCCTGTTCATATCAAAAACCCTTCTCTCAATAGTGATTAATGAAATAAATCAATCCAAGAGAGAAACTTTGTCTGGAAGCATTAAGATTAATAATAAATTTTATTTGAATAAAGAAAATCAAATCCCTTTGTCTGGAAGCATTAAGATTAATAAACTATAGTTGAATTTGAGCTACATCATATCCCTTGTAAAAAGATTTAGTTCGACATAGTAAATTAAACTTAATTAAACTTGTAAATAATCTCATATTAAATAATAAAAAAGAAGAGAGTTTAGAAATAAAAACTAGTCGACAATTAGCTTGAGCGGCTTCCTCGAATCTTGGCACCAACTTGGATACTTAAAGTCTTAGAGAGAGAGAAATTACGTAGAGTGAAGAACAATAGAATAAAAGATGGAAAATACAATCCATTTTAATTATGACTAGTCTCTCTCTTTATATAGATTGTCTGGAATATCTTTATATTCATTTAGGAAAGTGAATCTCTATTGAGGAAGAAATCTTTTGGAGATAGAAAAATGTTTAGGTTTTGTATTTCTTCCCAATTAGGACGCTCCCAACGTCTAAATAGGACTCTAGCTTTAATAAAGCACGTCCCACAATATCTTTATGCAAATCCATGTAAACAACACAGGCTTAATCTGAAATCTTGTCCCATGCTAAACTTTGCAGAGTAGGACGAGGGTGCTGGGTAGCACACCCTGGGCGTGCTCCTTGCTAGAAGTCTTGGACAATTGATTGCATTTAATCCTCTCTTGCATTTTTAGTTGGTTCCAATAAAAATCCTACCAAAATCCTCAAGATCAAGTGAGATATGATTCAAGGAATCCTTATTGAAAAACATAAATAAGTTTAACTAAAATAAAACAAATTAAGTAAAACTTAAAAGAAATCCTAGATAAAATCTACTAAAATTAACTATAAAAATAAACCTATCAAGTTCTAAATGCAATATGGATCAATTGGATGGTTAGTCGGTGTAACTCTTAGCACTGTGGATAATGATCCTGATGAGGCAACTGACAATGACATGAAAGGTATCGAGGACGCTTATGTTGATAAGAAGAAAGGCGAATATGCAAAGTTTTGGAATGAGCTTGGCGAGTCCATCAAACTCAACATTATGGAAGATGCAACTAACCGGAACATATTAGCAAAGTTTCTCAAATTTGAAAGGATAAAATCTGATGCTATGGCAGTATTGAAAAAAATGTTGAACTCAGGTTGGAGTCCAGATTCTATTTTCTTTCTTTCTATTTTAGCAGCATGCAGTCATGCGAAATTCTTAGATGTTCTGAGATTGGCTTTTCTAGATGAAAAAAATTCAAAACTTGAATTCTTTTTCATGATACTGTCAATGCAAATATGTGGACTAAGCAAGAGAATACTACAATGAATCAAAGCCAAACTTTCTTGGTTCAAAATGTTGTTGACGCTCTTGTTCAATTCACTGAAATAGAGCTAGATGAGAAAGCATGCTTTCATCACATGCAAGAAGATATAAACATGGTGCCATATATGATTGTTGAAGCAAAAAATGGAGACACCTTCTCAGAGTTAGATTTCTAGCATTTCAGTTCCAGCATACTGTCAATATTTTTCTGTTATTTCTTTTTTTTTTTTACAGCATCAAATGGTGGAATTAGTGGCTTAAGTTAGCGATTGTTTTTTAGCTCTTAGTTGCAGATTTTTCTTAGTCAGCTTTTTTTCACCTTATAAGTGGCATCTAAATGGCATCTATTTTAGCTCTTAGTTGCAGATTTTTCTTAGTCAGCTTTTTTTCACCTTATAAGTGGCATCTAAATAGGAAGTTTGTTATTTCCATGCTTGTATAAATTCTGCAGTATTCTTCAATGAAAGTTAAGCTGGAATTCTCTATCAATTCGTAAGATTCAATCTGTAACATCAGCTTTGTATTATTGTTTGTTTCAACACTGGTATTAGAGCCTAGTTTATCTTACGGGACCAAACTACAACAAAAGTTTTTTAATCCAAAACTCCAAATGGCATCCAGCAGCCAATCTTTAAACCCATCTATCATCTTAACTGGTCAAAATTATCACATTTGGTCAGTGAAGATGCAAGCTTTTTTGGAAGCCTTTGATCTCTAGGAAACTGTAACAGAGGATAAACCAATTCCTGCTCTACCAGCAAACCCCACCTTAGCACAAATCAAATTCAACAGTGAAGAAAAAGCAAAGAAATCTAGAGCCAAGTCACTTATTCAAAATTCAGTAGCATATTCTGTGTTCTACTAAATTATGGCTTGCAAAATTGCAAAGGAGGCTTGGGAGAGGTTGAAGGAAGAATACCAAGGCAGTGATAGAACACGTCAAATGCAAGTGTTGAACTTGAAAAGGGAATTTGAGCCATTGAACATGCTGGAGGATGAAACAATCAGTAAGTATGCCGATCGAATTTCTTTGATTGTTAATAACATAAGATTGCATGGTGAAGATTTCTCAGAGACAAGAATTGTGGAGAAAGTTCTTGTGACTCTTTCAGAGAGGTTTGAATCCAAGATTTCTTCTCTTGAAGAGTCCAAGGACCTAAGTACGATTTCATTAGGTGAACTAATGAGTGCACTTCAAGCACAAAAGCAAAGAAGGAATATGAGGTAGGAGAGATTCACCGAAGGAGCTTTCTCTATGCAAAAGCAAAACTCTGGTAAGGGGAAACATCATCCCAACCAGAAAAATAAGGGCAAGTACGATGGTGGAAATAGCAGTGAAGGTTCAAAGAAATCATTTCCTTCTTGCAAAAATTGCAAAAAAAAAAAAAAAATAACACATTTAGAGAAATATTGTTGGTGGAGGCCTGATGCTATTTGTGGCAGTTGTAAGCAGATTGGGCATGTATCCAAAGTCTACAAATCCAAAAACATAGGCTCAAAACCTTCTCAAGCTCAAATGGCAGATGAAAATAATGCACAGGAGGAGCAACTTTTTGCAGTTTCTTGCTTCTTAATGAATGACTTCTCTGATGTATGGCTTATCGACAGTGGCGGCACTCATCACTTGTGCAATGATGCAGAGATGTTCAGGACTCTTGATGATACTTACAAATCCATAGTAAAGGTGGGAAATGGAGAATTCTTAGAAGTCAAAGGAAGAGGATCAGTGGCTGTCTTAACAAAATCAGGTATCAAAACCATTCCTGATGTTTTGTACATACCTGAAATTAGCTAAAATTTGTTAAGTGTTGGGCAACTACTTGAAAAAAATTATTCATTTCTTTTTAAAGATCACAAATGCTTTATTTTTTATCCTTCTGGAGTTGAATTATTTTGTGTGAACATGAAAAATAGAAGTTTTGTAGTAACTTGGGAGAAAGCATTTGAGCAAGCTTACACAAGTGCTTCACATTCAATTACAAACTTGTGGCTAAAAGGCTTGGACATTTCAATCAAAGAACAATTACTGAAATGAGCAAGAACGGTCTGGTGAAATATATGCTTGAAATTTCCTATGATACTCAAGTTTGTGAGATCTGTCAACAAGGGAAGCAATCGAAGCTACCATTTCAAACAAATCAGGCATGGAGAGCGAATTAGAAACTTCAACTCGTCCACACTGATATGTGTGGTCCGATGACAACCAAGTCCTTGAGTGGTAACAATTATTTTCTCCTATTTATTGATGACTCCACCAGGA